TTTTTTGAGATAGACCTGTAATGCTATGAATTTCCCTGTTAGGATTGCTTCCCTGTGCCCCCTGGATTTTGAGATGTTGTATCCTCATTTTCATGTGTTTCAAGGTCTATTCTGATTTCTTCCTTGATCTCGTTGTTGACCCATTCATTGTCTAACAACTTGTTACTTAGCTGTCATGTCTTTGTGTGTTTTTCAGTATCCTTCTTCTGATTGATTTCTAGTTTCATAGCATTGTGGTCAGTGGAAATGCTTGATACTGATTTCAAACTTCTTAAATTTATTGAGACTTGTTTTGTGTCCCAACATTTACTCTATCTTAGAAAACATTCCATGTGTACTTGAAAAGTGGGTATATTCTGCTGTTTTGTGGTGAAATGGTCTGAAGAATCAGTTGAATCCATTTGCTCTAGTGTGTCATTTAAGGCTGCTGTTTCCTTGTTGATTTTCTGTCTCGGAAGATCTATCCATTGAAGTCAATGGTTTGTTAAAATCTATAAATTAGATTTTAATCTACAACTATAAATGTATTTCTGTTGATCTCTCCCTTTATGTCTATCAAAATATGCTTTACATATTTGGTTGATCCTATGTTTGGGTGCATAAATGTTTACTAAGGTGATATCATTCTGTTGGATTGTTCCTTTTATCATCATGCAGTGTCCTTCTTTGTCTCTTACTATAGCCTTGGTTTTAAAGTCTATTTTGTCAGACGTAAGTACTGCTACCCCAGCTTTATTTTCATTTCTATTTGCATGAAATGTCTTTTTCTATCCCTTTATTTTAGTGTGTGTGTATCTTTTGATCTGAGATGGGTCTCTTGGAGGCAGCAATATATATGGGTCTTGTTTTCTTATCCATTCAGCTACCCTATATCTTTTGGTTGGAGCATTTAAGCCATTTACATTTAAGGTGACTGTAGATACTTATACAGTGCATTTTGTTGTTAGACTGTTTTTCTTCATTTTTCTTCTTTCTCTCCTCCTCCTCCTCCCCCTCTCTTTAAAGTAAGCCCTTTAACATTCATTTAAGTACTGGTTTGCTGTTAACAAACTCCTTTATCTTTGGTGTTAACAAACTCCTTCAGCTTTTTCTTCTCTGGGAAGCTGCTTATATATCCAATTTTAAATTAAAGCCTTGCTAGGTAATGTAGCCTTGGTTGTAGATCCCTGATTTCCATCACTTTGAATATTTAACGCCACTCTGTGGAGTAATCAAATGACAGTCTAATTGGTGCTCCATTGTAGGTAACTACCTGCTTTTCTCTTGCAGCTTTTAGGATTGTTTTTAAGCCTTGTCCTTTTAATTATGACAGTCAAGCCTCTTTGGGTCCAACTTGTTTAGTACTCACTGAGCCTCCTGGTTGTGTGTCTTTTTCCTTCACCAGATTAGGGAAGCTTTCAGTCATTATTTCTTCAGAGAGATTCTTGATCCCTTGCTCACTCTCTTCTCCTTCTGGTACTCCCATGATGCAGATGATGTTATGCTTCATGTTGTCCAAAATGTTTCTTAAGCTCTCCTCATTTTGTAATATTCTTTTTTCTTTTTGCTAATTGTTTTTTTTTCTATCTAGTCTTCCAAATCACTGATTTGATCCTTGGCTTCATCTAACCTACTGTTTATTTCTTCATCTATTATTTATTTCAGATATTACATTCTTTATATCTGACCCGTCTTTTTTTATGGTTTTCAGGTCTTTTTTTTCATGCTATTGAGTATCCTTATAATCATTACTCTAAAATCTATTCGATAAATTGTTTGCTTCATTTCATCTAGTTTTTCTTCTGGAGAATTCTCTTGTTCTTTCATTTTGGGAGTGTTCTATGTCTTCCCATTTTGGCTGCCTCTTTGTATTTCCTGCCTTATCAGTTGGTAAGATGGTCTCGGATGTCATTAAACCTATCAAGCTGTTATCAGCAGCCTGGTTTAAGCTCCACAGGGTGGAGCGGAGTAATTCTTGTGGGCGGGGCTATTGCGTCCCTTCAGGCAGCTGTCAGGTGGAAAGGAGTCTGTCTCAGAAGGATGGTTTCTGCAGGATGGGGAATGTCTCAGTACAGGGATCCTGGCTGCTGTTCCTTTATTCCTCCCCCCATAGCCACCAGACGCAGACTCTCCTCGAGCCTCTCTAGTCCACTCTGCCCTCCCTCTGCTGAAGCCCAGGATAAGTGGCTGCAAATGAAATTTTGTGCATTGGCCCTTTAAGAGGCTCTCTGCACCTCCAGCCATCTCTCCCTGGCAGAGAGAAACCCTATTGCTTTTCACAGCTGGATATTATCTGGGTTCCTTTCCAACTCTGATGCTGAGGGCTTGGGAGCCCCGCTTGGGGGTTAGGCTGCACACTTCTCAGGGAGATCCCCTCAGCTGCTGAAATATCCCAGCAGAACTTCAGCTGCTGCCTGAGGGAACCTAGGCATCCCTCTCATACCTCCTCTGCACTCCTTACCAGTCTTGTTATGGTGAAGTTGTTTCTTCGTCTGTCCTTAGTTTTAGGGTTTCTCTCCAGCTAGTGTTCAGTTGGTTGTTCAGGATGAGTTCTCTACGATTCAGTTGTAATTCCAGACTGGTCCTGGGAGGAGGTTAGTGCAACTTCCATGTACTCATCCACCATCTTGGATCATCCAATAAATACAAATTAAATGAGCACCTTGTATGTGACAGGAGCTGTGGTAGACCCCGGGAGTTCACTATTTCATAACAATGAAAATGGATTCTGGCTTTGTTTACTTTTAGCAAATTCTGCTTTCTCAACTGGCAAAATATGAGCATTTTCCACAAGGAGATACGAACTCTGTATGGTGATGATTAGTCATGTAAATGGCGCTATAGCTCTAGAAGGGCTGACAAACAGGTGGGACAAGCTTCTTTTCTCTTTCCTGGAAGAGCATTGCACCTGTCACTTCCACAAGTTACTTTAGCTTGTTGCAGGCTAAATTCAGGCCATTCTTGTGGTGGGTGCATTGGGTAGTTTCCGTTATTGGTATTAAAATCAGTTTTAAAAGTAATACTTAGCACATATATATCACTATTATATAATATGATTTTAGGTAGTTCTTTATGTGACTAAAATATTTTGTAGTACACATAACTATACCTTAAACAAACTGAACATATAAATATCAACTTAAGTAATAATATACAACAGGATTAGTTTTCAAATAAATATTTTCTTCTGTAGTTAAATTACATTTTAAATATATCAATTTTAAGAATAAAAACATAGAAAGACCCTTTCTCTAATTAAAATTTGAGAGCAAATAACTGTGGCAAAATGGGTAGCAACAGAAACTTCTGAAGAAGCGTCTCCAGTATGCACACTAGCAGTAAGCATTTCTTAGGCAGGCAGTGTGTTCTCCAGCACGTAGCCCAGGGCCTAGGCATGGTGGGCACTCACAATGTAGTTATTTAATGAAGACAAAAGGAAGAAAGAATGGAGTGGAAGGAAGGCAGGGCCTCTACATGCAGTCAGCAGGATATGCACTACGCAAGTCCAAGAGGTATCAGTATCACAGCCAATTCTGATGAAATAAATGAATAGAATGGAATAATAGAATAAATCACAGCAGCCTTAAAGTTATATGGAGGTTGCAGAATCTATCTTTAATTCCAAATATTTTTAAAACAGTAAGTTCTAATGAATTCTTTCTTAATTTCAGTAACCACAGCTGTTGAGAGAATAATGGCACACCGTCTTTGCTTCATAATGAACAAATTGAGAGGTTAAGTCAATCAACTAAAGGCACCAATAACTTTTGTAGCACCTAGAATAGGTCTGGTCCTATAGGTCGGGACCTAGAATAGGTCCAAAATCTCATTTCTTCTTTCTGCTACTGTATAGAGGCACATCAGACACTTCAGCCCTACTTTCTTCCTGGTAAGTCACCCTGGGGTTTGGGAGGGAGTAACGTACAGCCTCTCCCTCATACATATGGCTTCTTGTTCTTAACATTTATTTTGCATTGTAGTTTCACTGCTTTTAGTGTTGTACTAGTGTGTATGATTTATCAGTTATAAATAAAATTTCACTTTCAGTGTTAAATTTATATGGTCAGTGTTGAGTTGGACAGCCTCCATTTCATACTGCCCAATTGAGATCTCTTAATTTTTGCCATAACTGCTATGCAACAGAGTGTAGTGAGGCGCATTTATGGAGCCTCATCACTCTTTCTTGAAGGGACCACCCCTTGATTATACACATTGCTTCTGTGTCTCCTTTGGTCTTTAGGCATTAATCATTTGCTTCATTTTCTGGGGGGTATTTATGAGTAAACTTAGGTTATGGATATTAAAAGCACCAAAACCTCAATTTCCATTCTATACAACTCCACTGGGGCTGAAATTTTCAAAGCTGTTTTACTCAGAGCAGTTCTAAATCTAGAGTCCGAAGAAAGGAGGGAATTAAACGCATTTATATGTTCTGCTTTTCTTTTGCTTTGGTTACCCAGACATGTTGTACCACGGAGGAATTCAGGAAGTTGCTAAAGGAAGGACAGTGTTTTAGTCTTGCAAAACAGATTTTAGATGCATGGTGGCCAGATGGAAAAATGGTTTTAAATGTAAATAAATGTAATTTTTGTTAGTTAAATATATTATTGTGAAAACTTAATCCATAGTATATTGAAATGTAGAGAATCTGTCTGCATTTATATGCTCATCTAATTATTCACGGAGGGTGGCAAGAGACACATTTATTGATCACTTACTTATTACCTGCCAAGGAGTATGCTAGGTATGTAAATATGATATTTAATATAACCTTATCTTTTGTAGATATCGCTTCCATATTACAAATGAAGAAACATAAGATGAGAGAGCATTTAAGTAACTTACTGCATTCACACTGCTTGTAAGTGCTAGAGATGTGATTGGCTTCACATTTTTATATCATTACATAGAAATTTGTCAATGACACCGAAAATATTTGCCACACCTGTAAACCATTTGTCAATACAATTTTCTCATGTACCTTAAAATACTACATTTTAAAAGAAATCACTTCTACTTACAACTTATGGTTATTCCAAGTTCCACATTGTGCTTTTTAGGGAGCTTTACATGAAATGTTCCACTACTTGGGATGACAGACTCTGTAATTTCAAAACAAAAAAAGAATGTATTCATAGGAGATCAGGAAGAATGAAGCACCCATCAATGACAATGCATCATCTGTAGTTAAAGCTGTAGAACTGAAGTTAGGTGAATGAACACCTGTAAAATCCTGGTAAACTAAGCTCCTGGTGAAAAATACATGTCCTATCCACAGCAATTGTGCCTAATTCACGGCATCAGTGCAGTTCACCACTCCTGAAGTGCCATTAGGGACCATGTGCATCAGATTTACCTGGGATGTAAGTTAAAAATAAAAATATGGGTTCCTGAATCACCCCAGATCTACAGAATTGGAATCTCTGAAGATGAAGCCTTGAAGTCTGCCTTTTAAGCATATTCTTCAGGTGATTCTTAGGCATAATAAAATTTAGGAATCACAGGCCTGATTTCATTATTTTTCCCCCAGCTGTACTTTTTAAGAGTTTGCTTTTAGCAATTTTTTTAAATCCTTGTATGAAGGTACTAGGGGGAATAGATTTTAGAAAAGATTTCCATTTGGTGTAATGGTTGTTGATTTGGAAGGAGAGTGGAGGGAGGTGCCTTAATTTGTAATGTAAAGAGTGAAAAGTACATTTAAAGAGCAGAAATGGGAGTGATATTTGAAACATTTTGCAACAAGAATGGTACTGCCCATAACCAGCCAGATTGGATACTGACCACACTTGGGAATGTAGGGGGCCAGAAGGCCCCAAGTGTAACCCTTTAGTTTCTGGGTCATGGGGAGCTACAGAAGGTTCCAGAGGGGAGCAGAAGGAAAGGTGACACTGAAATAGGGGGAAGGTGGGCTTAGATATTGCCCAACTGGTACAGAAATTAGCTAACACTGTAGCAACACAGACAGAACCAGTATGCAGTGGCTGAATCACAACCTTGGATAGAACTAAGTTGATTTTACCAGGGCCTGACTAATATGAGAAAGGAAAGAATTGCTACATATTCTTTTTTTTTTTCTATTTCCCTTTCTGAGAACATACCCATTGCCTTTTCTCTTTTAAAATTATATTTTATTGATTATGCTGTTACAGTTGTCCAGATTTCTCCCCCTTTGCCCCCCTCCACTCAGCATCCCACACTCCCTCAGGCAATACCCCCACTGTTGCTCATGTCATGTCCATGGGTCATGTGTGTAAGTTCTTTGGCTACTCCATTTCCTATACAGTACTGCATATCCCCATGGCTGTTCTGTAACTATCTATTTGTACTTCTAAATCCCCTCACCTCTTCACTCATTCTCCTCCCCACCAATGTGGCAAACTTCAAAATGTTCTACATAGCCATGATTCTACCTCTGTTCTTCTTGCCTGCTTAGTTTGTTTTTTAGATTGAATTGTTGATAGATAAGTATTTATTTCATACAATAATGGTTTGGTGATGATGAACTCTTTTAGTTTTTTCTTGAATGGCAATCTCTTTATCTACCTTTCGATTCTAAATGATAGCTTTGCTGGGTAGAATAATCTTGGCTGTTACGCCCATGCTTTTCATGACTTGGAATATTTCTTGCCAGTGCCTTCTAGCCTGCAAAGTTTCTTTGAGAAATCAGCCTACAGTCTTATGGGAACTCCCCTGTAGGTAACTATCTTCTTTTCTCTTGCTGCTTTTAAGGTTCTTTCTTTATCTTTAATCTTGGCATTTTAATTATGATGTGTCTTGGAGTGGGCCTCTGTGTCCATCTTGTTTGGGACCCTCTGTGCTTCGTGGGCTTGCATGTCTATTCCCTTCACCAAATTAGGTAAGTTTTCTTTCCCTGTTTTTTTTCAAATAGATTTCCAATTTCTTGCCCTTTCTCTTCTCCTTCTAGTACCCCTATCATGCAAATGTTGGACCTCTTGAAGTTGTCCTAGAGGCTGCTTATACTATCCTCATTTTTTTAAATTCTTTTTTCTTCTTGTTCTGATTGTTTTTTGCTTCCTTATGTTTCAGGACATTTATTTGATCTTAGCTTCATCCATTCTACTGTTGTTTCCCTGTAAATTGTTCTTTATTTCAATTAGTGCATCCTTCATTTCTTACTGGATCTTTTTTATGCTGTGAATGTCCTCACCAAGTTCCTTGAGCATCCTTATAAGCAGCGTTTTGAACTCTACATCTGATAGACTGCTTATCTCCATTTTGTTTAGTGCTTATTCTGGAGTTTTGATCTGTTCTTTCATTTGGGCCATGTTTCTTTGTCTCCTCATTTTATCAGTTTCCCTGTGTTTGTTTCTATGCATTAGATAGAGCTGCTTTGATTCTGTGTCTTGGTAGTGTGGCCTAATGTAGTAGGCATCTTGTCAGGTCCAGTGGCACAGCCTCCCTTATCACCCAAGCTCAGTACTCAAGGTGCATCCTTCATGTGGGCTGAGTACCTCTTCTTCTTGAAGTTGAGTTGTGGCTGCTCTTGGCAGATCAATGAGAGGGCTTTACCCAGGCCAGTCAGCTGCAAGGATTGGCTGTGACCACTGACTACCAACCTCTGCCCTCTGTGGAAGATCAACTATGCAAGGGCAGGGTGTGGTGTTTCAACATGGGCTGTAGCTGTCCACTAGGTGTGCTGGCCCTGAGGTTTCCTGGGTGGTGCAGGCCAAGGTCAGCCCCCACCTGTGTCTGCCCAGGGCACCCTGCCTAAGCTATAAAGCAATCTGAAATGGCTGCTACTCATGCTGGGCTTCAAGATTCCCAGGCAAAGCCAAGCTGTGAAGCTAAGCTGGCTGCTGCTAGTGGCAGGCCTGTGTCTCACGGAGGGCAGCTGTTGCTCGTTTGATAGGATATAAGAAGTTGTAAAGCATGAGCCAAGACCAGCCATTCATATGGAAAAGCAGCTTGGATAGGCCCATAAGTTGGGTGGGGCAGAGTCTCTGGGAATCTTCAAGGCAGGTCAGTGTTAGCCAGGTTGATGGAGTCTCAGATATGGCACCAGCTTACCAGCTCTGTGGGGGGAGGGTTTAGCAAAGGGACAATGGCCTCTGCTCGCCTTGATGCCAGACTTCAGTTTCTCCCTGTGTGCCACTGGTGCCTTCCAAGCTACTACCCTGACGCTGGACCTCAGAGGGAATAAGTCTGAGCAGGTGAGTCTATATGTGGGTTCTTTAAGAGGGACTGCTTAGGGTTCCAGAAGTTTCTTCCACTGACTTAATCCCCACTGCTTCTTGAAGCCAGAAATTATGGTGACTTATCTTCCTGACACTGGAACCTTGGGCAAAGGGCCTGTTGTGGGGCTGGGTCACTCTGAGACATCCTTCCCAAATTTTTATCCACCACACATGGGTGTGGGACCAACCAGTTCCAAGTACGTGCTCCTACCACCAGTGTGGATGGATGTGGTTTTTCAAGTTCTGTAGTTGTCAGACTTCCATTCCACTAGATTTATGATGGTTGAGTCACAGTTGTTCTATATTTTAGTTGTAACTTTGCTGTGGTTGTGCAAAGAGGTGAGCCATATCTGCCTACACCACCATCTTGACCAGAAGTCCCCACTGTACATTCTTAACTATACTCACTCTTCTTAAGATTCCTTTAACAGTCTGCAAGACCTTCAGGGAGAGATAAGGTTGAAATGGAAATATCCTCTGAAGAGATAACATCTATTCACCCTAAATTGCTAATGACTATAATAATTTTTTGAAGCTTTTGGGAAGGGTCGGGAAGGAGCTGCAAGAAACAAGGGAAACGAGCATGAAGCGGGGTATGTAGGATAAGTGAGCTAAACTGACTTTTACTGCTTGATTTTTGCTCAAGGCCAGTCCCAAAATCTCCCCAAAGGAATTAACAACAGCAGCTGATGTGAGACCTATTAGGCTCAGTCCTCTGGTCCACTTGTTAATCACATATTTGTTACTTTGAGTCCCTGCAAAGCAGGGTGAAAGTTGGGATGGCCTCACAGAAACAGAGTTAGAATACTCTTTTCCTTGTTCTTCCTGGTCTTTTGTACTTTTCCATGAGAAATTTGGGCAGTAAACCTTTTACAAGACCTGAATCTGATCTTCCAACTCAGAAGATTCTCCATTGACTATTCAATTGGGGGACATGATAAAACTTTGATTTTGCTGGGCCCTCCACCCGTAACGTTATCTATAAAAGACTCCTACAGTCCCTAGGCTAGGCTCCACCTCCAGTTTTTACTCTGATGGAGTGAGGGCATCTGTTGCCTTCATCAACTTCCTCCCACTCTTCTGAATTCTCCAGTCCTGGCAGGTTTGGTCCAGTGAGGGTCATAGACAGTGAGATGACAACTTTGGCTTTGCTACTGTCCTCAGCTAACACTCTGATGTGCCAGGAAGGACATTTATTTCTTTGTTCAGTTGTTTATTTCTTTAGAATGTGTACCCTCCCCAATTCCCAATAGGATTTGTGCTAGATAAATTATTTATATCCCCCAGTAGATTTTAAAAAGGCTGGCTAATTTTGATGTATTGGAGTAGAAAGAGAAAAATGAGGCAAGTAAAAAACACAGAGGTATGCTTTTCTTCCTTATTTCGGATGCTGTGAGTATCATAAATATTTATTTCCAAAATAGTTCTCAATTCCATGCCTTCCCTCCATCTCTTTCCTGAGACCTCTCCATTCCTTATTCCAGTAATGGAAAGTTAACTGTCACCTTCTGCCCACTTCCAAAAGGACAGTTTAAGATTTTGCAATGAGCATGCAGACTTGGGGCAGAGAAGGCATCAGGAAGTGGCCCCCTTCTCCCCAATAGCCAGTGTGCACAGAGAGGGGAGAAAGAAAAAGTACAGATGAGGAGAGAGCAGAAGGTCCTCGAGAGAACCTGTATGCAGCTGGGCAGTCTTTAATCTCTGGTCCTAGCACTTCCTGGGGCTCCCTGCTAGAGGGCTGTGAAACACCTGTGTGTTTCTAGTAAAGGCCTTTTTTTTCTCCATCTAAACTACCTTGAGTGCATTACTTTTGCTTGAAATGGAAAGATCTCTGATGAACCATTAATCAAGTAAAGGAAACGGGATGGGGCTAAACTGAAAGGCACCACACAAGAGTTCATGGGTGT